GAAATAAACTGAGAAGCACGGTATGCTGTTTACATCTTTATTCTGTCGCAATATATTTCTGCTTTGACCCAATGGAAGGAAGCCGTATGGTGCTTGCAGAAACTTGCTGGTTAACAAAGGATATCATCAAAATTGCTGCTTTTGGCTAGCTCGACGAGATCACTTCACAACCACCCTACATGATGGTATCCACACGAGTATGTCATATACTTTCAGTAGATGTTTCACATTCTGTGTTTTAGGTATGCAATAACATGCGTGATCACCTTCTGTTTAGGTACCGTGCTCCTGAAGTGTTGCTTCAGTCTTATATGTATACATCTAAAGTTGGTGAGTGGTTGATTGGGTAACAATTGCCATTTATTTTTATCACTGATATGTTTTTTCAAGTGACGACTGTGAGTACCTTTTTATTAACATTTTTCCCCTTATAGACATGTGGGCAATGGGTGCTATAATGGCTGAGCTTTTCTCTCTTCGTCCCATGTTCCCGAGGTGTCAGGGCTTAGCTTCTCACTTGCTGCTCCCTCCCCCAATAAACCTAATGATGATTTTTAACTGCAACATAGCAAATAGAGCAGTCACCGTGAAAACAAATTTTAGCCACCTGGAACTATTAAATTAAAAAACGATGTTGATGTGCTTACAAGTGGTATCTGTTCTAAGCAGTCCGGATCAGCAACTGGAGGTCATAAATAACTGTTTCTCTGTGACATGCAGTGAGGCAGATGAGATATACAAAATATGTGGTGTGATAGGCAATCCAACCCATGAATCTTGGGATGATGGATCAAGCTTGCAAGGGATATCAACTACCAATTTCCACAGGTTAGCATCTAGGATGCTAGTTGCTTAATTAATTTACTACGTATGATGGCATTCTTCTATTCACTTTATATGCCTTTTGTACTTTCTATAGCTTGCTGGTGTGCATCTTTCTGCACTGATCCCGTCTGCGAGCGATGATGCAATCAGCCTTATCAAAGTAAGTAGTTTTGGTATATTGGTCAGTTGCTTAGGCCTGTGAGCCATTTGATCAACAAATAGTGTGTAATTCATTTTCTTTTCTGTTAATGCAGTCACTTTGCTCCTGGGATCCTGCAAGAGGCCAACAGCTTCTGAGGCCTTCAGGCATCCTTTCTTTAGGATGGTCTTTTAAACGAAGCTAAGGTTTGTGTTTTTCTGTCAAGAATTTATCTTCTTTACTTTACAAGCTGTCTATTGGGACTTCTTATTTGTGGTTAGAGGCTTCTATATTCCTCCATTCCCTTCGCAAGCAGAGCAGTAGCGAGAACTCCACAATCTGTTTGTATTATTTTATTTGTTATCTGAATGTGTTTATGTGCAATGAGTGGGATCATTATTGTCCTTTCTTTTCAGCTGGAACCAGAGGAGCCCTGGATCACCAAGGGGTCAAGAGATATTCTGGTGTTTTATCCAATTCAAAGGCCACCAATAATTTTTCTTCCCAGAAATTACATCCTCCTTTAGCTTCAGGTGACATATTACATATTTATTGAATAGAACATTGCATGTGTTGTATGTGGAGCAAAAGGAAGCCTTATCATTAGGGAAACGACAAGTAAAATATTTTACTGTTCTACGTCGATTTGCATGTGAATTAACTACCCATGCTTATAATTCCTAGTAAATAAGTTGCTCAACACTGAAATATTTTGAACTTTTGACTATTTTCCTCACGGTAGCAACTTAATGGTGTATTCTTACTAAATAGATTTAGTTTTACTTAATAAGTTAATAGAAGCTTGCCTCATCAGAACCAAAAGATTCCTTGGGCTCTTTGATGCACCTTGATGCACGTTTCAGTTACCTTGATTACTTTGAAGATAATTCAATTATATCATGATTTGGTTTAAAATATCTGTTTGTTTTTATACAGAAATTTCTTATCCATATAAAAGGTTTTCCCCCCGTTGGATTTATGTATATAATAATTAGGTTGTTTTTGGTTAGTGAAATACTTTATATTTGTGAATGTGAAGATCGTTGTTCTCATCCAATTAAGAATATACAGGTGTGCAACGGAAGCTGGATATGGTAAATCAGGTGAGTTATTCTCTTAACATGCTTTGTTCTTTCACCGGTCTCCTCACTAACTAGCTATATATGCTTTCTTTTTACTCCGCAAGATTAAAAAACACGATATCCAAATTTATTTGAAGTTCTTTACGTATATTTTATGGGGTCTTATTGTCATCTGGAATAGACTAATATGTATCTTAAAGATAGTTCCTTCCTCGTTAAATTCCATCTGTCATGCCAACGATTTCTATGTTTCTTCTCTAGGCATGAATTAAGAAGAAAAAACCTATGAGGAGTACTAAACCAAAGAGTATCGACAGCCAGGAAAGGACAGCCCAAGTAAGCTTTTAAGGTCTCTGGTTTTTATTATTTTATCAAAGTTATGTAACAGGTTCGAACTGAATGTTTGAAGTCGTCTGGTTAGGGAAAAACTGATTATACAAAAAATAACTGAGCGCGTTCTAAATCTCACTCCGACTGGTAATTTAATACCAGATTACATAAACACGGAAAGTGAAAAAAGAGGAATGTGAAAGAGGTCTAACACTTTGTTTCACATCTACGCAGTAAATTAGTAATTAAAAAAGCAATTGAAATTACGAAGTTTACAAAACTTTGTTCCACACTTTGAATTGATTGGCATTCTTTTTGAGAGATTTTTTTTTTCTTCATTGTGTTGATTAATGTTTATGGAAACCTGTTTTTTGGTTGTTGGAGCTTTTAACGAACAACAAGGGGAGGATGCGCGTGGGGTTCAAGCAGCTGAGAGAATGGCAATGGCTGTTATGTACAAGAAGAAAATCATGAGGGACATCACCGTCCTCCACCAATGAAGGACTGGAGTGAATGGATTGTCTAAACTGGAAACTTCATCCTTGGGTCCGCCACAGCAACTTCAGACTGGAAGACTTTTCACACCCGAAAAGTGGCCGGATGGTAAAATGTGCGAACACTACAGTTGCATGCTCAATGTTTGTGTGAATGTCCTTAAGTATAAATATGTGTGTTTAGACTATTTTATGGCTTTGGCCAGCTCTAAACTACAAAACCATTATGTATTGCTGTGTTGTGAGTTGTTGGTAATCGTTCGTACTGTGGGACATGCAGAGCTAAGAGCTAAACTGATACTTTAAACCTATAAATAAACTTTTTCCTTAATTGGAATTTGGCGACGATTGTTACCATCACATCGTACACCGTCTTTTTATTTGCCTATGTTCTTGTATACAAAGGTAATAATAACGATAATAATAGTAATAATTCTCATAAGTTCTTTTTATTTTTCATTTATACAATTTGATCACTTGATACACTGAATCTTGGCTTTATCAGTTCTCTTGCGACTAAGGGGTACAGTGTATCTTGGCTTTATAACACTAATCTTTGAAGATACTGCCATGTTGACATAATGAAATATTTATGAAGTCACATTATGACATTCTTCTACTGCAATTAACATGTAAAATTAGTAGAAACGAATTAATAATATATATATATATATATATGTATATGTATATTATTATATTATATGTTCTTTATATAATATTTGTAATATGCAATTTCTAATTTTTAATTTATTTTAATAAAAGTTGTACTTTCTTTTCATATTTTTTCTAGTTCAGGTGAAAAAATATTCGATTTGGCAAGAGTCTATGTCACTTTTATGTTTAATAGTCTCATGTAATACCTTTCGGTCTTTGAAGCAGGAATGTTATTCTTATTTCAAGTAAACGATTCATTTAAAAATGGTCAAAGACGATGTGTTAGTTTTATTATGTTGAAACAGGTCAATGTAGACGGACATTTTCTTACAAATTTAGAGTCTGTGGCCTAATACGTAATACGGATGATGCACTGAACTAGCTGTAAATAGTCGGGGAGTTTGGGAGGCTCGGGGATTGGCACTGACAGCTGTAAAGCGGGGACCGAGATGCAGGATGTCGGCGGGAAGGTGGCCAATGGGAATACGCTGATGGCTCGCCGGCGTATGGGTTTCATAAACGATATACTAGTTAAAGGAGTATTTGCTTCATCAGTTTCTTGTGCATTAATTGGTGTCCTGACCTCATTGTGGGGTGGATTAGATGTCATATTACCATGAAAATTTCTGTTTCGTAATTTATTTACTAAAGTCTTCTCTTGTACTTCATTCCTCTTTTCATAAGTATGACTTGTGGTAGGACCTAATTCATATTGTTTACAAGCCACGTAAGCAACATTGCTCTGATCACTATGACCATTTTGCATGGTATTTTCTTCTAAAATGTTATCCTCAATGAAAAATCAAAATGTTTCACATAAAGGCTGGATGCTTCTTTCACATAAAGGCTGGATGCTTCTTTCACATAATCTTTTGTGTGCATTGTCATTAACCCGAAAGGTGTGCTTGTTTCCATATTCCAGATTCTGCTTTTACTTTGATCTAATACTTTCCTTGGATTGCCATCATAATTTTGTAAATTGCATGAGTTCTTCATCTCAGTCCATCTTCCACCATATTACTTTCTCCCATAGCCTTAGAAGGATCATTACCCATGGAAACACACAAACTGTGAGCAAGTAAAATTACCTCATTCTAAAATGTCTCTAGGTGAAAATGATGAGCTTCGGGTACTCACTTTGGAGTTTTCTTAATCCTAGCTTTAATAATCAAAGACACTGGTTGGGTGATTTTTGTGAGAGGGTTGAACATTTTTTTATTCGCAAGAAACTCGCAATTAAATAATTTGGGAGTTTTTGTCCTGCGATTAATGTTCATCTGAAATTGAGTTTTCGCAGGTTCTTGGTGGCTATGGATAAGGTTCGATTTAGGTTTCTTTACGTCTATGTGATTTCTTGTGGGTTTCAAAGGAGGAGATTGGTGGAGGAGCTCGTCTTTTTGTTTGAGTTTTTTCGAAAGTCTAGCAGAAAAGATGATGGTGGTTTTTTGGTTTTGTTGTAGTGGCACATGGAGGATGTGATCTGGTTGTTAGGAAGAAGTTGGTAGCCTTAGCAATGGTCTGAGGTGTTGACGGTGGCGGTTTGTGACTCTAACGTTTATGGAGGTGGAAGATAAAGCTGATGTGCAATTTGTTTTCTTAAAATTCAAAATAGAAACATTATATTATCTTAACCCATTTTTTCATAAATTTGAGTCGTTTGTTACTTTTTAAAAATTGTAGGATTATTTTAAACATAACTCGTAACTCTTCCGGGAATCAAAAGAGGTATTAAGCCTTTATTCAAAAAGAAATTCAATTGTTTGGCTACAAGTCCTTGCACTTACTACGTCTACGATTTTTACTCTATTTGTTTTTTTTTTCCTTAATCACGCTTACCTTCAGCTCAAGCGAGTTTTTTTGTTTGTTGTTTCTCTCTGTCTCTTTTTTGTATAAACATCTCTCTTTCTTTGCACTTTGGTAATTCAACAATATTCGTTGCTCAGAATAAACTTGACTTTTTAATTTGTTTTCTTTTATTTTCTATTTTCTGTTTGCTCTCATTTTGCGCATACAGTTTTCTCTCTGGATTCATCATATTCCCACGATGTCTAAGTTGGTACTTAATCATATTGTTGTATGAGAAACTACAAAAAGTCTAAGATGGTATGCACGTCTCTAACTCTCTTGTTTCTTTCTTTTTCTTGTTCTTTCTTTTCATGAGTGAATAATCAACTTTATTTTTCTATTCATAGTTTTCTATATCATCATCCCAGTGAGAATCCGGCTATCCCTTTGGTTTCTCATGTCCTATTAAATGCCAAAAATAAGCTAGAATTCATTGATGACAAGGTAGAAGAAATTTGGAATGATCTTAAATCTATATTCCTTTCAAGAGATCTCATGAGAATTTCAGAGCTGCAAGTGGAGGCTT